CGAAGCTGTGTAAGAAACGTGCAAAGAAAAACATCATTCTGCATATCACAAGATAAAGTTAACCAGATCAAACCAAAAACTGAGAAGAGAGAGAGAGAACTAAAAATTGTAATAGAAAAATGGCTAGGAACATTTCTCTTGAGAAATCATAACCTTACTCAACAAAGGTTGGGCCAATAAAGCTCACAAATTATGCAACGAAGACAGAATCAAGACATACAATAGAACTACACTAAATGGAAAGTGCCTAAACAAAAACACACTTAGCATCTCAAGATACTTTCCAAAAGTTATGTGATCTCTCACCAAAATAGCAAACACATACCGTTTCAGAACAACCACACTGGGTCTCGTACAAAATAACCAAAGACATTGAGAAATCAATGTTTATGAAAATGCTATGTCTCTGGTTTTCAACAAACACCAACAAAAAAAAAATTCCAATTAGCAACAACTTGATTTACAATGTCTTCCCCCATAATTTAGGAAGACATTTGACACATCAACATCCTTTTCTTCTTCTATGTGGTGTTTGGTAAGAGGAATGAAAAATAAGAACAACAGAAAAGTAAGAGGGATGGACTTTCCATCCATAAAAGGAGGAACTATTCTTTCTCTCCTTTTTGTTGGTATGATTGATGAAAAATTGGAAGGATATATTTTCCGTTATTTGGTATTGGAATAAAAACGAATGGAAAGGAAAAAAAAAAAAAAATTCAATTTACGATTATACCCTCTCATTAAAAATAATTTTTACATTACCCAATAGTAGAAAAAGTTAAAAAAAAATTATACTATGTTGACTGTTTCAAAAGATGGTCAACATAGCTATTTTTCCGGCTCAAAAAAAAAACGTAGCTATTTGTCACAATTTGCCAAGTCGCTTGTTTCTAGAAAAATCTTGTTGATGTCTCTATAGCACATTTTAAAGAGAATAAAGGTAATTACAGTAGCCTCTACAATCTGTCACACTCTTCTGTCCCACCTTCCGCCCAATTTTTTACAGGAAAAAAAATTGTGGGTGTGATGGATTGACATTCCACTGACTTTTCCATTCTATCCAATTTTCCTTTAATTACCAAACAGAGGAATCTCCTTCTTTCCTCCCCATCTTGCATCCTTCTTTTCTCATCCATCCTACTTTCCTTCATACCAAACAAGCTATTATTTTTCACAACCCCCCTTATCTATCTGAGAGGTTGGATGATGTGAAAGAGGGAGAAGGTTAGTACAATTGGTTTAACATGAAAATCTTAAATTTAGATGAAATTAGCACGTTCACAGGAAACAATAATGTGTTGGTAAATGTATGCAAAAAAAAATTTAATAAAAACATTGTGGAGCACAGTATGTTATTCAGTAGCACTATGCACACACAAAAAAAAATGAAAAGTAGTAAATTTTCTGCCATCAGTGTCCTCCAGACGAGACCCCTGCTTTACTTATTACACGAGATAGCTAGTGAACAACTCTTTTGTTGAGGTATATTCACTACAAGATGCCAAAAGGCAGGGATTCAGCTCAAATAAACATGCATGAGGGCAGATCAATCTGGTGTCTAGGTTGAATGAATAGGTACTTTGCTCTTTCTTAAATTGAAGTCTCCAATTGAAGGATATTTAGCCTTTCAAACTCCCCTTATATATGCTCTGAGCAGTTGCTTCACAAATAGAGTACACCCTCTACATGGTATACTAGTCTCCTATAGACCTGGCAAAGTGTTTCCAAATCTAAGCAGGTAAATGTACATGTCAAAACCAGCATGTACATAGTGAAGGCATATGCAACAACATCACTTTCTTTTTAATATGCAAACTGATAGTTGACTGTTAACACATGAAACGACTATAAGCCAGTGTAAACTCTAACTTCACAGCAGAATAGCACTGAACCCTTGTCAAATTAGCAGGCACTGTCAGCATCAATCTTTCTATTTTTCTGATAGGAGACAAGTGAGTACTATTAATAATAGAAGTGGAAAGGACACTGTGAATATCAATCCCATGTACAAAATCCAGGCATTGAGCACCTTAACAAGAGAAAACTATGTGCATACATCAAGGAACACAATGGGATCTCAAAAGCAACCAATTAAAATTTCTAAGGGAAATGATGAGGAGGTAATACATACAGCGGAAGTATGGAAAATGCCAGACTACAACATCTTCATTCCAATGCGTTGGCAAAAAACGTCTAATTGCAGGTAACAAAGTTGCCCTGTGCAGAATGAACGAAGGAAGGAGTGAGGTAATGATGCATACAACATAGCACCACTTCAGAACAACTTGCTTCAATAATTAAGCATAGTAGAATGACCCATACAGAAAGAACGTACGAAAGAGCGACAATCCCAAGGACAAAGAAGTAGCACGTCAGTACAGCATTAACCAAGTCTTTCGATAAAAACTTGAAAAGTAAGAACAATGACAATAGCATGGCACTCCCAACCAAAGGGAACCGCATGGCATGTTCATTGGACATTGTCTCCTACAAAATCAAACACATCAAGATTTTAAACAAGGTTAGATTCAAACAAGCAAACTACAACTAAAACAACATGCCACAGCATGGATGGTTGCTGTACTCACTGAAGGTGGAGTAGGCTTGACAGAGCGGTAGCAACCCACATAAACTGCGAGGCAAGCTGTCAAAATGACATTTAAATTTGGGTCTACCTTCACAACCAGTGGTGCCAAAGTTAGACCTGCACCGAATAATAATGATATGAGTAGAACACAACGGCAGATGCTGGAGAAACCTTAAACAACAAATGCAAAACCACAACTAACATTAACAATAGCGTCTAGTCTTTCGGAAGTGACTATTGCATTGAACTTCAAAGGTGGAAATAGGGGCTTGTGAAGAAAGATCATAATCATAACATGGTTGGTCCAATTCACTTGGGGGTTGGAAAATGGAAAAAGACCACAAACCATTAATTTTGTTGAGAGCACTAAAGACATGTTGCTTTAAGGGGGCAAAATGCCCAAAAAGGGGAGGAGATTAATTATTAAAAAAAATGAAAAAAAGATGAGACTTACATTATAACCAACTATGAAGCAAATAAAAAATGAGGAAAAAAAAGTGACCAACATAATAATCAAATATGAAACAAATACATGGATATGACGCAATACAAATATCATGATATGGTCATAGAAACCAAAATACCGGGTACGGCTACGACATGTATATATTATGTATATACATTTTATATACAGTACAACATGCAATAATTAAAATTTTGAATAACTCTTTAAGCATAAAAGTTGCCAAAAAATAGGTGTCTTCACCAAACAAAACAATAAATACACTCATGGGCCTTCGTTGCTCAATGAAAGGGATGAAAATATTTAACATAAGACAAAATGGAACGTGAAAATGTGGGCTACTGCTCACACTTGACCCTTTTGTCCATAATCATCTCTTATCATTTCCCATATATGGATATCAAATTGAACAATAATACTAAACTTTATTTAATATAATTAAGGGTAATTTAGATAATTAAATAAATTTTCTTTTCTTTTAAACAATAGAATGAATTTTTTTTTAAATTTCTTACAAGCTTTCATTCAAACCAAATAATGCATGAAAATATATTTTCTCTCATTTTCTTTTCTTTCACTTCATTTTCTAAATTTTTGCATCTCTATTTGAAGAGATAAAAATGGTGATGTGTCAACCATGCATTGTTTCTACATTAATAATATTTGAAATTTATTTATTTTATCATAAAATGTGGATAAATGCACAGTCTTTCAAGTTCAACATCTCCTTCAATATAAATAAGGATATTTTAGACAATTCTTAAAATTTTCTAGCAACTTGACTACTTTTCAAACAATAGAATGAATTTTTTTTTTTAAATTTTCTTTCAAAATTTTTATACTATTCAAATACATGAAAAAAAAAATATATATATATATATATATATATTTTTTTTTTTCTCTCTTTCACTTCACTTTTTACCACTTTCACTTTCCATCATTTCTTTTCTTTCTAACCAACAGACCCATAAAGATTGCTGCTAGAAACCCCAGCACACATTTTGCTAGATTTCTAAAAACTCCTTTTAAATTAAACCAATTGCGCTTAGGAACACGAGAAACCACCTATCTTCTACCCAACAAAACCCCACTCCTAGAAGCTTTCATAACCTTGCACCATCCCACACAAACCATTGGCAGCAACCACCTAAATTTAAAACAACTAATTTTAAGCACTTAGGAACCACAAGCAAACACCTATCTTATACAAACTGACATCCTATTCCTAGAAGCTTTGATAACCTCACACTACAAACCATAGGCGACACTATAATTAATTTGTTAAAGCTATCCTACATCACCCCCAAATGGTTTGTTTGGACATATAAAGCAATCCACGCCAAGGACTTGCAAACGGATGTGATGATTTCTCAGCAAACAAAAAAGTATCCATCTCCATGATTATATGCACATAGCAGACCTACATGGAAAATCCTTCAATAAGCCTAAATTCAGGGAGTATTTAGGGTCCAGTTATAAAGCAATAACTCATCTCATTAGTTTTCCAAGAGTTTGATTATGTCCGAAGTAGGGCTCCAAGTTCCTAGCAAGTTTCTTTCCATGATGCAAGTTCATTCGAGTCCACTTATGGTTAATAGATATCAATCTTTATTCCTAGCAACATCAATTTAGTACTATGGAAACAAAGATCCACATACCATACTAAGGCCTGTGGTCATACCCCAACATGATTTTTTTTTATTAGTCATACTCTTCAACATGATAGCTATGGTGAACATGAAGCAAAGATTCAAGAGATTTAGATGATTGAATGTTTGGAACATACAATAGAAGATTTACAAAAGGTTTAAAAGGTTCAAGAATATTGCTTTAAAAGCTCAAACATATAATGAGCACTCTCTATATTCTCTTCTTCTAACTCAACTATTCATAAAAGGGAAGTTACAACTCTATACATAGCCCAGAAAATTAGGTTCCTCAAGAGTTAAGTACCCAAAAGTTGGGTAACCTACTAGCTGGCATGCATCCTATTCATAAGTTAAAAAAAAACTGCAACTAGGGGGCTAAAAATAAATATTTGTTAGGAAAACGAAAACCACAAATTGAACAGGTGTCCAAGCCAAACTTCATCCCAAAATTTCTATATCAATGCTCTGAGTTATAGTTATGCTGGTGCATAGCCCACACACCATGCAAAAATTTCAAACCTCAAAGACAAAAAGGTAATAAAATGAATCAGGAAAAATCCAACTCAATTTGATAAAAATTAAAGTTATTAAGCACAAAATTAAGTATCAGATTACAATCATAAACAAATTTTGTCAATGGAACATAGAAACCAACCTGCCAGAGCAATATTTGCAAGAAGCTCACTATTCATCGTTGCAATCACAAAATCAAAACTTTTTTAACAAAATTTGAACTGCTCGATGTGTCCCCAGTCGCCAATAAAGCACAGAAACCAGGATCCGCTGTTAATACATTAAATAATGAAATATTTTCAAGATTATCATAATATCTTACAAGTAAACAAGAAAGGCAATCTAACCCTTAAAATGATATTCTATACAAAACAAACAGTAATTGTACGGGTACCAATGATTATCATAATTAGTCTTATCAAGATTAAGATAGTATTTGTCTATAAGAAAAAAGTACAATTTTTCTACTATTGTGTATACAGCAAAATTGGGGTCACTATCCAACTTAATCACTCCTGGGAGGGATGAACTGGTACAGACTACCATTCGCCTAAAGTGCCGGCCTTCCAATCGAATCCGCGATCTCACTCTTGTATAGAACAAAATTGTAATCTAATTAACATTAGAACATTTAACAAATAAAGATAAAACAATTGCCTTTTCAAGTTATCCATAAGAGTAAAATTTAATCTTTTCAAGATTTTCTTGCTTTTCTTGAAATCAGAATTCCAAGACCAAACCATTCAAGACCCATCTGCTTCAATTCAGTATAAACACTGTTTCTTTGGTATTTCTTCAACCATCAATCCAAAATACAAAAACCCAATATCAAATGAAAAAGTGAGACTAATTCATGTCACGGAGATATATGCATACATATGGACATATAATTTGTACCTGGGAGGAGATTTAAACAGATAGGAACCCTTTTTCTGTCTCTTCTTGTCGCTGTACATGCAGATCGGAGAGAGAGAGAGAGAGAGAGAGGACGTTATTTGCAGAGATAGGGTTTTACTGAGAGGAGTTAATTGAAAAGGGGAAGTTAACTGTTACGTGGGATTTTGGCTTCTGTTAAGTGGAGCCACGTCTGGGAAGGTTTTCTGACCAATTATATGTCGCCATGTCATATTATGGAAATCTGGGCAATTAACCGGCAATTACACAATTTGAAAATAAACAAATATCAATTTTTTTTTTTTTTTTATGGTTGTCGTTGGTACTCCCCATCTTCGCGGAGAATTCAATTTCACTAGCTCTAAGTCAGAAATAGCGGGACTGTTGTTACACCATTTGTGCATATCACTACTTATACGACAAGAAATTTCACTGCCTTTAAGACAATTAGAATTACTGTCATTATTTATCGAAATTTCTATTCAAAACTTGTAACACTTTTTCTTCTGTCTGGTATCATTTTATTTTTTGTTATCTCATATTCATTTCTCGCATAACACCGTATCCCTCTTTTTCATCGGTGCAATTATAATTTTACTATGCATATGATAAACTCAAAAATCATCTAAATCAATCTTTTTTTAATTAATTTTTTATTAGTGTTACTTCTAATGTTTCATATATATTAATTCCTTGTTGTTTCATGTTTGTTTTACATTCATCTTATCATTTATATCTTCTCCACACTTTAGTTTTTTTAGCATATGTTTTATTAATTCTCAACCACTCTACTATGTAAGATGATATGTTAACCAAATTTTTTGCTAAATCAATGTAAATCACAAAAACTTCTAGTAAATCAATGTCAATGATTCACATTGATTTAGTAAAAGTTTAAGTAAACTTTTTTTAGTAAGCAGTGTTGTTGGTATAATTATTGTCTTGTAAAATTTATTTTTTAGCTTAAAAGGTATGCAATCGCATAATACACCTAATGAATTCCTTCATTCAGATCATCTTGAATGAAATAGACCTATACTCCTCTAAGATCCCCCAGGTTATCCATCTTAGGGGTCAACTTAAAGAAAGTTGAACCGACATGTTTTAATAGATTTTCACTTCGAAAGAAGTTTAGTACAATTTTGCTAGGATCGGTCCAATAACTAGGCCGAAGAAGCGATTATTTTAGGCCCTATCTAAAATGAAGGCCCCATTTTTTATAAGGAAATTTGGAGATCGGTCCCCATATATGAACTTATTTAGAGATAAGTCCGTCAAGAAAACTTATTTGGTTTTGTGAGGTTCCTGTTAAGGATGCGCAGTCCTGGTATCCCACATCGGTTACGAAGGGGGGGAGTGACTGGGCTATATTGGGCCACCCCGGCTACCTCTTTTAAGAGGCGGCTTGGGGATGTTACAAATGGTATCAGAGCCGACCCCCGGCTGGACCCGGGTGGGACCCTGCACGGGTCACGTGAGGTTCCTGTTAAGGATGCACGGGGACGTGCAGCCCCGAAGGGGGGTGGATTGTGAGGTTCCTGTTAAGGATGCGCAGTCCTGGTATCCCACATCGGTTACGAAGGGGGGGAGTGACTGGGCTATATTGGGCCACCCCCTCTACCTCTTTTAAGAGGCGGCTTGGGGATGTTACAGGTTTTAAGTCTATTTTTTATCAATTTTATTATTGTAACTCTTCCATGTAAGAATGTTATAAACGATATTTATAGACACAATAATCAGTCATATACATCTCCTTCAAATCTGGCTACAATCTTTCAAGCCACAATATTTTTTATCTGAAAAATAAGAAATCGGTATTTACTAAAAATCGTTCATATTCAAATTTCAAATTCATTACATTCCATAAAATATTAATATTTAAAAAATAACAATACTAACATACTCAACAAAAACAGTAATATGATCACTAAAAAAATAGTAACATGCTCACAAACAAATAGTAATATGATAAAAAATTAATAACAATTAGAGATTTAATTATGTTAAAGTGGGCATTAACCTTGAAACCAAAATTAAAGATAACTCATACATTAGTACTAAATTAAAGTGTTATAGATTTCGATTTTGTTGGGCAAGACAATTGAGTATTCCTTAGTTGTGTTACTGTGAAAAAAGTTCATATTGTTGTATACGAACCGAAAAATGGAGTTCAAAATTTCGATGTCTTGATGTTTACAATTGGTGTTGAATGTTGTAATTCAACTGTCGATTGTTATTCATCATTTTGTAAATTTTTAATTTATGGATCGTATTTTCACTAAAATCATTAAAAAGTTGATGTTACTATAAAAAATTATTGTCTTGTATTTTATAAAATTAGATGTGTTACTGAACACAAAATTTTGATGTTACTGTGAATATTAAAGTATATGTAACATAATATACGTCTCAAAGTTTGTAATTGTATGTTAAAATTTACTATAGTAATGTTAGTGTCAGTATAGTAACACGACTGTACTGGTAACACGATTCTAATTGAAATTTTAATCAAATAGTAACATGAATGTTACTATATATTAACATTCGTGTTACTGAACTCTGTTGGCATTGTTTAGCCTCCCTATATTATGTATTATTATTATTAAAGAAATTTTGTGATCTGATTTTGATTTAATAGATCAATAATTTGTTCGTACATTAAACTTTTCATATATAACTATCAGAATATACAATTTTCATATAAAACTTTGATTAATTATCATAATATTTAATAAACGGTTTTCATATATGCTTAATCAATGGTTTACATATATGTCTCAATGATCTAACATATATGAATTTCTATAACTAAACAAAACTAATACTGTTAGGAGTAATTTTGAGATTTAAAAAATAAGTGAAATTAAGTAGCTATATATAAGTTTAAACATGGAATTACCTCCAAATAAATTTTCTTGCAGGACTTAAGTCATTATAAGTTCATCTAGTGGGACTCACCCTCAATTTTCACTTTTTTATAAGTATTCAATATGATCCAAACCAAAAAATTAAACTCAAATAAAATTGAGTCCAAACAAAAATGTCCTATACAGTTCAAAATAAACAAATTTGGGTCCAAAAGTGTTTGCAGCATAACAAAAGTAAAAAACTCATAACCCATTTCGTTAAAAACATGAAATTTTAACAAAAACAAAAGCAGTTATCTAGCTGTCAAATGCAAAAGTGAAAAAATTGGTCAAAGAGTCAATTACATCGATCAAACAAATTCTCTCTCTCCTGTGGCTCTCCCGTTAAAACATCAACCCCCACCCCCCTTCTCTCTCGCACACACACTTAATTTTTGTTTCCATCTAAAAACAAAATAAATGATTATCTCTCTTCTTTGTCTTGTGACCGCCTTTCTAATTCACACAACAAATGTCATCAAATGAGCCGCGGTATATTATTTTATGCTCGCACTTTCTCTTTTTCAATGTTATTTTGTACAAAATATAATTTCAATCAACTTATTCTATTTGTTTTATTTTTTAATAGATGATATTAAAGAAGAATCACATTATAATATCTTTAAGTTTTAGGAACACTAATGATAAAATTAAGCGTTATTGTTTTATAATTTTAATTTTTATTAAGTTTTTTCTTATAGAGAGCATTTGATTGATTTTATAAAAAAAAAATTGAATTGTCAAAAAACTATGTCTACTAAAAAAACAACAATTTAAATACATGGAACTTAAAAAAAACAGAGAAAAATAAACTTATTGAATCACAAAAAAAAAATCTTTTAATAAATTTACTATTAGTAGTAAAAAAATAACAAAAGTTTTGAATAAACTAGTTATAGATCTTAAATAATTAGATTTTTGTATAATAGATCTGTATTATAGAGGTATTTTAATACCACCAAGAGAGAGAGTATTATAATCCAATTCAAACGTATTATTCTACACATTTTTTTATTATAACCTTCAAGCCAACTGATAAAATCAAGTTGTTATCAATGTTACAAACACTGATTAAATGTATTTTTGTTAATTTAACATTAACACGATGAAATAATTTCCTAACCAAACAGTCGATTGGATTGAATAAGTAATATCCAACGTTATGATGTGTATTGTCAAACTCTATATAAAATTACGTATTATTCTAATACACTATTTAATATTGTCTCTTATCTATTTGTATTATATTAGACTAAATTGTTTATCTAATCCATTTATTTCTAATACGACAACCAAACAAGCCCATACTGACTTGCAAATTAAAAGGACAATTACAGTTTTTAATAGCAAGGCTATACCTTTGAAAGGTAAAATTATAA